GACCAGGGGCTGCACCTAAGGATTGGACCTGCCCTCTGCCACCTGGGAGCAGGCCTAAACCAGCAGGTCGTTATCTCCCGAGGGGTCCCAGACTGCGAGAGGGCACAAGTGGGGCTGTGGAACCTCCCCCTTCCCCCTGAGTGCACAAATTTTTGTGCACCTAGCCTCTAGTATCAACAATAAACAGATACTTTGTAAAATATTGTTAGTTAATGGGCCATTCTGCTATAACACTGCATCAATTGGCGCACAGTCTACCCACTTACACTCCAATTTAACTTGTGAACATTTGCTTTGAAACACATATTTCATGAATATTCACTTAAACACTTTGTTAGGCTCTCACAAGCTCACATTTCTGCCATTTGTTTGTAATGTTTCTTGAGATATTCTATTGCTCCTGCCAATTCCATACATTATAGTTCTTGGAGCTCTAATATAATGATATACAACCCCAATAGAGAAAGATTTGCTCTAGAAAACATGCTTTATATAGGCCTACTTGTGCTTATCTTCCTTCCAGGTTTTTAAAACGAAGTTTCTCTTTTTAAGTGGTAGGTTTCCATGAATGAATGAATAATAGAGTTTCAGAAACTTTGTAACACCATTTCTACAACACAATCCTTTCCGTTCTCATCAGGTAATAAGTACAATTTGGTTTATTCACATCAGAGCAGATTCTAGTGGGATATCTGTTTCTTTTTCTGCTAATTTTATGATCATGTAGAAGCAACTCAGTCCAATATGACCAAAGTGGTGAGCTGTATCTTCATTTTAGTTACAAATCTGTTTTGCTAGAGGAAGGAAAACCATAAGTGGTAGCTGAGAATTGAGGAATAAGCAAGGAGAGATTCTCCCTGCAGGTGACCGAGGAAGCACAGCTCTGCTGACACCCTGATTTTGGACTTCTGGCCTCCAGACTAGGAGATGGTAAATTGCTGTTGCTGGCAGCAGGTCACGGTGGAAAATACAAAATAAGATTATTGAAATAGGTTCAAATGTGTCAGCAATCCAATTTTGTAAATCCTTTTGTATTTTTCTAAACACAAAATTTGTAAAACCCACACCTAAGTTATACTAACATAAAAAGTTTGGAAATAAGGCACATTTTATACTGAAACTCTCAGTCAATATGATGGCATCTCTGCTACCAACATAGAGCAATACCTATTAAAAATAGCCAGTTTGGCTCAGTAGATAGAGCGTGGGTTCTCTGTCTGAAGGGTTGCAGGTTTGATTTTGGTTAAGAGTATATACCTCGGCTGCAATCTAGATCCCTGGCCTTAGTCAGGGCATATGCAAGAGGCAACCAATCAATGTGTCTCTCTCACATTGATGTATTTTATTTCTCTATCTCTCCTCCTGCATTGCAGTCTCTCTCTAAAAAAAAAAAAAAAGAAAGAAAGAAAGAAAAAAAGAAAGAAAAAAAGAAAGAAAGAAAGAACACAAGTAACATATTTGGGAGACATGGGAGGGGAGTAAGAATATATTAGCCTGGCTGGAGTGGCTCAGTGGTTGAGCCTCGTCCTGGGCACCAAAATGTTTCTGGTTTGATTCCTGATCAGGGCACATGCCTGAGATGTGGACTCGGTACCTAGTAGAGCTGTGCAGGATGCAGCTTATTAATGATTCTCTCTCATCATTTATGTTTCTGTCTCTCTCCCCCTCTCATTTATATAATTATTTATTAATACTGATTATTGCTGATTGATTGTAATAAATAAATGATTGTAGCCCTGGCCAGTGTAGCTCAGTGGATAGAGTGTCGGCCCATGTACCAAAGGATCACCTCAGGTGAGGATTAACAAAAGAAAAAAAAAAAGACTGTAGTCATTGTGATTCATCATTTAATAATTCATATAACTCATTCACTAAATAATTTCTCTCTTTTTACTGGTCAAAAGCCATTTGCTGATAATACACATATTAAATATGTTTATATTTTATAATATATGTGTATAATTTTTAAACATTCTTTAATAAATCTATATAACTATGAAATGGAGAATGCACTGGAAATTGACCAATGGATAGAAATAATAAAAAGTCCCTTTGAAAACAAGGATATTTCCCAACATGTGGAAAGTCATGAGTCATTGCATGAGGGGATTACCAAGATATATATATATAGAGAGAGAGAGAGAAATAACTAATGCCTCCTGACACTTGTGAATTTAAAACAAGTGAGTCCAGTTTGATCTTATGCTTAAGTATTGTTAACGAAGGAGATGAAACATTACTGTATCTATTAACCTCCCAGAAACATATTCTAATGTCTAGCTGAAATTGCTTCTTCTGACATTCAAATTCATTTCTCCTACTATATGCTACAATATAAAAGAAGAATTCCCAAATAATTCAGAAAAAGAGCTGCACTACTTTCCGAGTCTTCAGTCTTTAGAAACTGTGTTATGATGTAAGGAATTGAGCTGAGTTTCAAAGTAGTCAAAATACATGAGGCCATTCAACTGAGGTGGAGCTATAAAATAGCCTAATACTTAACATTTTGATAAAAGGAATATAAATCTATAAATCTAGATTGTTTTTTATTTTTAATTACATTTATTAGGGTGACATTGGTTAATAAAATTATATAGGTTTTGAGCATACAATTCTTTGACACATTATCTGCATATTAAATTGTGTATTTACCATGTAAAATCAAATCATCTTCCATCACCATATATTTGATTCCCTTTACCACTTACCCTTTGTTTGCTGTTGTCTGTCTAAGAGTTTTCCTTTATTTGCTTTCCTTGTTTGTTCATTTGCTGCTTTCAGTTTTATTTTCCACATATGAGTGAAATCATATGGTTCTTGACTTTTTCTGTCTGACTTATTTCACTTCACATGATATTCTCAAGATCAATCCATATTGTTGTAGTAAATAGCATGTTTTTTAAAAATATGTTTTTATTGATTTTTTAAAGAGAGGAAGGGAGAGGGATAGAGAGAGAGAAACATTGATGAGAGAGAAACATCCTTGATCAGCTGCCTCCTGCACGCCCCCGACAGGGGACCGAACCCTGACCGGGAATCGAACCGGTAGCCTCTTGGTTCCTGGGACAATGCTCAACCGCTGAGCTACACAAGCCAGGCTATTTTATCTTTTCTTATGGCTGAGTGGTATTCCATTGTATATATGTACCACATCTTTTCCCAATCATCTATTGAGTGACACTATGTTGTTTCCATGTCTTGGCCATTGTGAATAATGCTGCAAAGCATAGGGGTACATATAACTTTGTGAATAAATGTTTTCAAAAAACTTTAGTAGGTACCCAGAAAAGGGTGCTGGGTCATATGATTACTCTAGTCTTAATTTTTGAGGAACCTCCAACATTGTTTTCCATAGTGGCTGTACCAATTTATATTCCCACCAGCAGTGAATGAGGGTTTATTTTTCTCCACAATCTTTTCAACACTTGTTATTACTTGTCTTGTTGATAATAGCCATTCAAATAGGTGTGAGGTGGTATCTCATTGTAGTTTTCATTTGCATTTCCCTAGTAGCTGGTGAAGTTGAGCATCTTTTCATGTACCTGTTGACCATTAGTATGTCTTATTGGGAGAAGTGTCTCTCCAGGTCCTCTGTCCAATTTTTAATTGGATTGTTTGTTCGGGTTTGAGTTGTATGAATTCTTTTTGTATTTTGGAAATTAATCCCCTGAGGGAGCTGTTCAAGAGCTTCAAATGAAGAATAAAGAGAAAAACATAAGAGATAAAAAGAAACTCATATTGCTACATTATAAATACTTACACTGTGTGCCCAGCTTTTTGCTAAGTGCTATAAAGAAATCTCTCTCCTTTTCAGTTAACAATTATGTGGTAGTAAAGACCAAAAGTGAGACTGGGAAGGCAAAGGTGGGATCCACAAGTGTCAGGGAAACATGGAGGGATGAGTAAGGCCTGGAAGAAAGCA